ATCCCTAGATAGGGTTACTAAGTAACCAAGTCCACAAAACATTTGATTTTTCTTTTATTCTTTTATTTTCTTTCTTTTCTTTTCTTTTTTTTTTGTTTCAATAGGGATTTTATGGACCATAACCAACAAAGGTGAAAGGAATCAGTATTTATTTGAGGATGCATCAGGAGCTGCAACTAAGGAAGAAGGCCCTGTTACAAAGGACAAATTCCATGAAGTTCTTTTGAAAAACCAGACACCAAAAAGAGTCAGCAAGTACGCCTGGGTCGACTCTAATTCAAGCGGATCAAAAGGCTCACATGACACCATGCCTCGTCTGGTGGTTGGTTCCATCCTCCTTGCTACTGATAAACTTCTCAATGCATCCCCATTTGACAAGTCAATGATAATCATTGTTAAGGCGGAAAAGGACACTGGATTTCAAGGTTTGATTTTTAACAAGCACGTCAGTTGGGACTCTCTTCATAAACTTGAAGAAGGCCTAGAATTCCTTAAAGAGACTCCTCTTTCTTTTGGTGGCCCTATTATAAAACCTGGAACACCGCTTGTTGCATTGAAAAGAAGTGCCAGTAAAAAGCAGTACCCAGAAGTCCAAACAGGTGTGTACTTTCTCGATCAGTTTGCTACAATTCATGAAATTGAAGAGCTGAAGTCAAGCAAGGAATCTATCACCGACTATTGGTTTTTCTTGGGCTATGCGGGTTGGGATTGGGACCAGTTATTTGAGGAGATTGATGAAGGGGCATGGACTATAAGCAACATCGATAAGAGTTTAGGTTGGCCATTGAGTTGACAATTTGGTATGTTATTATTCCTGTACAAGAAAAGGAAAAAGTTAAGCACAGGAAAAAAACCAGAGGGGGGAGTTATAGCATACATGTCAAATGATCTGCTGTTACACAATTTTGAAAGGAGCATGTAAATACAAGATTTTGCAGTCCGTTTCTAAGATAAATTTCAGGCGAAAACTAACTCCGGAACATTTATGAACGTTTTTCTGTAATATAGTTCCTTCTCCTCAGCCATCATCTCTATCCCCTCAACAGTTAGGGAGGATGAATAAAAGTGGGATTTTTTCCCTCAATTTGAGGGAAAGAGGTTGCCACCCTCTTTTGAGGGAAAGAGGTTGCCACCCTCTTTTGAGAGTTTATGTCTAAGCTTTCTTAGTACATTTTATCTTATCGAGTTTTGCTTATGGTAGAGAATAAAGATAGTGTAGATTTAAAATTGAATAAGCTTGATTCGATTACAACACTTCAGTTATTGATGACATGGTTAGAGGTTGGGGATCTTGCTAATCTTTTACACAAAAAGTCTTGATTGCATGCTAGAAAAGGGAGGCACAATAGGTGTGGTTGTTAAAGACAATAAGAAAGCGGCCAAAGGGTTACCTTTTTATATGTTTACATGACTTTATTGATATCTTATTACAACTCTTGATATTTTGAAGTTTTTTGCACTTAATTGTCCATACTTGTTATGAGCACTGTTTTTCTGTTTTAGTGCGATAAGGCCTTGTTAGTGTTTTTACCTTTTTTATTTAGCCTATATAACAAAGTACAATTTGAACTATATTTGTTTTGATTTGTTTAATTAAATTATGTTTTTTTTTATTAAAAAAAATATATTAAATACATTTTCTATATTTTTAAAATATTAAAAGATTATAAAATCTATAGTTACAGATACAATTTAACACTCTCAAAAGGAGCCTTAGAAAGAGATCTTGTCAATTTTGGTGGAGTACAATTTGGTATTTTGGCTTATTTTTGAAGTACAAGGAATTGATAGTTTCTCCAAACTTTTGCAAGAATGTGTTCTCCATTATTGTGAATCTAATTCAATGATTGAAACACCATAGATCTAATTTAGTGATTGAAACACCATAGATCTAATTTAGTGATTGAAACACCATTAACAGAGAATTTAATAGAATCAAGATTAGAGTCACTAGAGATTGGCTGCATTAGGATACTCCATGGCTGAATTTAATCCAAAACCTTCCTTTGAGACGAAGAATGCAGGCTGCAAGGAAGCTGGAGACGTTGTGGTGTTGCTGTTGAGCATCACGACAATCTTGGACATTGTAGGTCGGGAAGCTATAGCTTCCTGAACACATAACAACCCTATGTGGATGCACTTCAAAACTTCATTGCTTGGCCATGATTCCCAAGAGTTGGATCCAGTAGGTCCAGAGCTGTTCCACTGGTCCAAAGTTCTCATGCTTGTGACAAGTATAAGCATCGAATTCAAATCTAATAGCATATAACTATATAATACACCCACTAAGGGTTAACCATCCTGCAAAATACTTTACCTGGCTTTGGAGGTTTATTGAATTTGGGAAACCAAAGTTCTTTTGCCGTGTTACCATCTCGACAACCAAGACACCGAAGCTGTAGACATCATATTTGGTTGAAAAATGAACCTTCTTAGCAAACTCAAGTGCCATGTATCCACTTTCATTCAATCACCATACAAGCACTTGTCATTTTTTGCAAGATAAGCGCTTTCAAGCATAAATGTTTCAAGAATAGAGAAGGATTATGAACTTACTATGTGCCAACAATCTTGTTTGTATCCCCTTGAGTTTGGCTTTCACCAAATAGTCGTGCCAAACCAAAATCAGAAATTTTGGGGTTCATGTTCTCATCTTGAGCTAAGAATCCTCATGCAAATAAAATAACCCCCTAACTATCACAACAATGATCTTGTACCAATTTTACGCCATAAATTACAAATTTATTTGATGATGCCACGTGTCATATTGTTTGAACGAGTGGTTATAATGAAGCCATGTCAAACTTGATGTTGTTGTGATTTGGAGTATAACAAATCTTGTTGATGACTGCCACCTGTCCAACCAGATCTAGTGTTTTTTGTAGTTATCTCCCATTTATTTGGTAGTATTTAATAATAGTGGAGATCATGGCTAAAGTTTAAGAGAAGTTGCAGGCCAAGTTTAGTTGGTGGGTGGGATGACAGATAGATGGCGAGTTCTGGAGAAGGTTTTGACCAAGTTTGTTGCTGAATTATCCAATTACCCTATGAAATCCACCATGTTCTGTGCAAGTGGGAGTGGGTAGTTATCATCTTCCTCAAGACATAAACGAGAAAAATTCAAGAAAAGTAACACACGACTAACCCTACACGCAACTCATCAACAAATTCAGCTTTCTAATTTCATAGTTAGTATTCACACAGTTCACAGATCTTAGTTTCAGCACAGTTTCTAGTCAGATTTAGGTTTTTTCTAGCTTCTACAGCAATCTCTATTTGTTTAGTGATTTTGAGATAAATGTCATTTCTTCAAATGTCAACTTATATGGCTTTCATGCCTCTCATTAATGTTCATGTTAGTTTCAACCTTCTTTGTCAAATCATCATGGTTACTTAGCTTTAGTTTAGCTTCAAGCCCACTTACTTTTCCAATTTTGCAACCATTTAGTTAAATCTATTAGTAGTTATTAGTTCATGCTTCATTCATTTTATTTTGGATCTTTAAGTTTTGAGTTTGCGTTAGTGTTTTAAATTCCTTAAGTTATCCAAGGTAGATCAGTAACTCAATCTACAAGAAGACATTCCTTCATTTTGCAAATTGTATGAAGGCACAAAACTCAACTTTAAACCAACTTTCTTCTAGCCATCTTAACAGAAGTGAACCATAAGGAAGGTAAGGGTCCTTGGGAAAATCCTACTTTCTTACTTTACAACAAAGTACGTGGTATGCTTCACATTCAAATCTACCACATATAGGTGCAACTTTAGGATTTTTGAGGAAACAACCAAGTTTCTCATTATGAACTGAACCTTTTGTTCTCATCAGCCTCATCCAAGTTTCAAAGTTCAAATCATCTTTAAGAGAAATGAAATCAAAGAAGAAACTTCACCAACAAACCAGTCATATGGAGAGTGAAAATAAATAGAAGCCCAATAACCTTACCAAGTTACGATGCAACAGTTTAGCAACCAACAAAACTTCAATTTTCAGCTCTTCTAGACCTTGTGGTGATTACTTGACAGTCTCCTCACAGCTCTCTCTCCCATCATACAATTTTCCCTAGATGTGCAGTTTAAGGCTCCCTTTGAATAACTTTAGCCACAAAAGGTGCTAGAATGGGACCAAAACCACCTTGTCCATGTTTATTTTCACCAGAGAAATTTCTTGTTACTACTTTCAGTGAGTTTTGTTCTATCATAAGTGACTCTATGGCTTTTTCACATTTTTCAGGAATAGGTTTAGAATGATGATGGGATACCAGAAAATCCAAATGCTTATAAGTGATTCAGAGTGACACAAGTAACAAACTTAATTTAGTTATATTTAATTGTGTTACATGGGGTGACAATTAGGATCAGATAAAGGTATGCATAAAATGTGAATACTTTAATTATCATTTTAAAGATTTTCCTTCATTAATTCAAGTCCTTTGGACAATATGTCTTATACGAATTCATCAAGGTAAGGTGGATGGTCGGTCTAATATCAATATTTGGAGATACAAGTTATGTATCACTTTCTTCTCTCTTGGCCTTTCTCCAAAAGAAGCAACCAAAGACTCTAAGTATTAGTAACAATGCAATAGCTACAAGTGTGACCACAATTGTAATGGTTTTTGAAGTATTCGTCCCAACATAAAGAAGAGATATTTCATAAAGTATTATGGTTACAAGTGGGGGAAGGGAATAAAAATACAATGATATAATGATAGTTTTAGCATAACTTACCATCATTTCCGGTTGAATTATTAGGAGAAGTTGAAATGGGTGGAGATGGAGGTGATAATTCAATGGAACTAATACAGCTCAAATCGAAGATTGCAACTCATGGTATATATCTGAGCACCTTGTTTTTTACTACAACATTGTGGAATATAACTGATCATGGTACTTTACAGGCACCTCAGACAGCTATTTTCTTCCAGGTCCCTAATGCACTGTACCATGGTGCATATATGCATTGATAACTTTAAAGAATGGAAAATGTTTATTCATTTCTTGAACTCATCCTTTTACATCTCGGTAAAGACATATGTATATATATACAAAAACAAGAAATCGGCTTTTGTGTGAAACCAATTGGAGAAATTGCGGCTTCCACTAGCTTGCATTAATGAAGTTGTAGACAATTGCACATTGAAAAGAGATGGCAGATCAAGGCAGTAGATAATTGAGTGAAGACTTGACCTTGTAGGGACTTGTAGTATGCATTTTTCCTAGTGCATTTATTAGTATGTCTGCATATATCAATATTATAACAACCCCCCCCCCC